GATTTTTAAAAATTGTGTATCAAAAGACTATAAACAGTGTAAAGCAGCAATCAACAGAATGGGAAAAAATATTCACAAATTACTTATCTGAGAAGGRATTAATATCCAGAACATATAGAGAACTCAAAAAATTCAATGGCAATAACAAAGCAATTTAATTAAAAAATGGGCAAAGGACTTAAATAGGCATTTCTCCAAGACATACAATGGCCAATTAGCATACGAAAAGATGATTACATCACTAATACTAGGAAAAAGCAAGTCAAATTTTTAAGGAAATGCCATCTTATACTCATTAGGATGGTTATTATAAAAAAAAAACTAACATCAGAAAACAAGTGTCAGTGAGAATATGGAGAAACTGGAACATTATTGGTAGCAATGTAAAATGGTATAGCTTCCATGGAAAAACAGTGTGGAAGTTCCTCAAAATGTTAAAAATAGAAAGAATCACCACATGATATAGCAATTCTACTTCTAGGTCTATATTCAGGAATTGATAGTAGGGTCTTGAGGAAACATGTATACCCCCATGTTAACAGCAGCATTATTTACAATAGTCAAAACATGAAAGCAATACACCAACAGATAGATAAGCAAAATGTGGTCTATACAAATAAGGGAACAGACAGCCTTAAAAGCGAGAAAATTCTGATACGCTACCACATAGTAATTGAAATAAGTCAATCACAAAAGACAAATATTATAAAATTTCAATTATATAAAGTACTTAAGAGCAGTCAGACTCATACAGACAGAACTAAAATGGAAGCTGCAAGGGCTAAGGGGTCAGGGAATGAGGAATTATTGTTTAATTGATGTAAAGTTTCAATTTTGCAAGAAGAAAAGCATTCTAGAGATGGAAAGTGATATTCTACAATATGAATAACATACTTGGTACCACTGAACTATACACTTAAAAATGTTAAGATACTACATTTTATATTATATATATTTTGCCACTGGGCTGGGGATGTGGCTCAAGTGGTAGCGCGTTCACCTGGCATGCGTGCGGCCCGGGTTCGATCCTCAGCACCACATACCAACAAAGATGTTGTGTCCGCCGAGAACTAAAAAATAAATATTAAAAATTCTCTCTCTCTCTCTCTCTCCTCTCTCACTCTCTCTTTAAAAAAAAAATATTTTGCCACAGTAAAAAGTCTGGAAAAAATTAAATAGAAATAACTAACATAAAAACAATAGATAAACCAATAAAAAAATAAACCATTCCTATGTAAGACTAAGAAAGAAAATACCAGTAATAGAGGAAATTAAAGAAATTAAGAGACTGATTTGCAGCAACTAAGTCATTCAGGGTTACCCCAGGTAAATTGGGTTGGCACAAAGTAATCACATCGAGACAGAGAAAATACATTTTTCTTGGGATTCTTTAGCAATGACCCCTCTGCTCCAGCTCCCACAATGGTCTGAAGCCCCTTTTTATTGAGGGAAGACATTGGAGAAAGTTCCACCCCAATGAGGGGGGTCAGGTTTCATGGGGTTGAGTCTAGCTTCCTGATGTGGAGTGGTCAGCAGATTGACATCTCAGAAGGCCACGCCCATCTCATGCTGTGTGGGGATCATAGGCAGAGCTATCCCACAAGAGAGGCAACATCAGTCCAGTCCCCTCATGTACTCATGCTCATAGTTCACACACACACAGCCCATGGCTGGCCAGCGACAATGATTCATACATTCTTATTAAAATAAATTTAAAAATCTGATTGGTTAGTTTGCAAAATATAAATATGTGTGTATGTGTGTGTGTGTGTGTGTGTTGGGGGGAAGTACTCCTCCTTAAAAATAAAATAGTAAACCCAGGCAATTTTACTGGTGAGTTCTTTCAGAACATCAGGGAACACAGAAAGCTAATGTTTTAAAAACCTTTCCAGCACTCAGGCCAGTAGGAATTGGCAGCCTGGCCATGCCACATCTGTGTGGGATTGTTGGAGACATGGTTTGATAAACCCCTGCAGGATTAAACGTATTACTAGCAATATCAGCAGGTTTCAGTAATTTTAGCAGAGACATGTTGGTTCTTGAAGCAACTAAAACAGCAATAGGGGAGAAATTCTGCAGGGATGTTAGGGGGTCTATTGTGAATTTATTGACCAAAACTTTATTAAATTCATATTTGAATTTAGAATTTATTGGTTTTATAGCTTTGTATCTTATTTAGTAAATTTGTTTTGGTTTTCATATGTAAGTATAAGCAAGCAAGTGTATACTTCCTATTATATGTTTTTTGTGTGTACTTAAATAATAGTAAAATAGAAAAAAAAATGTTCAACCTGAGATTTGTAAGAATTTTTTTCCCCCTTTAAATGGAGAATGTGTATTGTTCAATTTCAGAAACTCTGTTCTTGGTTTTAGAAAAGAAAAAAAATCCACCCTCTTTTCATTGCAATTAACATTTTCTGCCTCCTTCCCCTACTGGAATKTAAGAACTTATGGACAAAATCAAGACACAGTAAAAGGAAAAGGATGTGGCTGTGCTTCATTCACCTGTTGGAAATGTTTGAAAGTGAAAGGATTCTCTGCAATAGTAGCTTTTACAAAACTACAAAATCTACCCCACTTTACTAGTGGCAGGGCACCCACAAAGGGAGGCAAAAAAAAGCCTTAGCTATAAGCAGAGTTAGTTCTGCCCAGGGTGTTTTCTACATGTGGACCTTAAGCACCTATGACTGCAGGATGCAGCTGGCCAAGGATTTGGAATCCTGGTCTTAGCCACCTTTTCCTCTATAACCAATAGCAGTGCTCCTGCTTCCCCTATGGACAGCAAGAAATTCAGTGCTAGGACAAATAACAGAGCTGGATCAGGTTATTCATTGCAGGTAGTATCTTGTCCCAACCAATGGCTATTCAGAAGCCATGGAGTAGATTCAGTGCATTAGTTCTGAGTCATAACTACATAGAAGAGAATCTAAATACAGAAAGGGATTTTGAAATTATTTGATCCAATTTCTATACCAATGAAGAAGTCTCTTCTAAAACATCCCAATAGGGGCTGGGGTTGTGGCTCAGTGGTACAGTGTTTGCCTAGAAGGTGTGAGAATTGGGTTCGATTCTCAGTACTGCATATAAATAAATAAAAAAATAAAGATCCATCATCAACTAATAAAAAAATTTTAAAAAAATCCCAATAATATAATCTCTCCCTAAAAACTTCAATGTTAATTTACTAGTACTTTCTATTCTTCAAGAAGGCTTTTCCTACAGAAAAAAATGTAATTTGTTGAGAGTATTTATAACGTTACCCTATCATTCTCACTGGAATTTAGTTTCCCAAAGTTGGAAAGATGCCTACATGATACTCTTCCCTCCAGGTTATACAATCCCTTGATTCCAAGAGCATCTAGAATATGGTTTCTAGACCTCTCACTTTCAAACCATCCTCTTTTAAAAGTATGCCCATGAAGTACTCTAGGGCATCCACATCAGAACCTATCATTTTACCTTAGCTTTCCCTCTCTTCCTTTCTTTCATTAAGTGGTCAGTTAACACAGTAGACTTGACATTGAGCAATAAATACTTTCTATAAAGGAGGGTGGAAAAAAAGTAAGAAAACCTTATTCCATGCACTTCTGAAATTTGCTATTTAATGTATTCTATAAGATTATTATTATTTTTTAACTTCGGATCAAACCTAGGAGCATTCTACCTCTGAACTATAATCCTAGCTCTTTTTTAATTTTTATTTTGAGATAGATTCTCATTAAGTTTACCCAGGCTAGCCTCAGAATTGGGATCTGGGATTACAGGTATCTGTCCCCATGCCCAACTTAAAAAAAAAAACAAAAAAACCAAAACATTGTGTATGCTGCATTTCCTAAAAGTTAGGTCCTATACTTTGTGTTCATTAACTTCAAAATGGATTGCCATAATAGATATCATCTTCATATTTCACGAATGCCTATACTCTATGTTAAGGTATGTAGTTTTGCTATTTTTAGATGTAAAAATATATTCAATGAGTTTTCAAAGTTGTTTCAGTTTTTGCCTCACTCCTGTTTTTTGAAATTAAAAAGTTTCCACATCCCACCTCATATGAAAGAGTGGTGACACAAGATACAGGTTTAATAATTAATTTAATTACAAATTGTGACCAATTCTTGACAGTCACATTATTCAGGATATCACAGATGGATTATATAATAGCATTATCTTACATATATAAAAATTAAGAGGAAATAAAGAAGAAATGTGTAGGCTCCATGACACCTTATCACTTAAATTTACAGTATAGAACTTTGTAAACATACAGTGTTATAAGCTAAAGCCTGTCCTCCTATCACCATTCAGCTGCATGACCTTGAACAAATCACCGTTTTCTTGTTTTTAAATTATCACCTGATTGCTCTATCTAATAGAGTCAATTGGCTGCATGCAAAAGTACCTTAAAAAATACCATGCAYTTATAAGTGAGAACAATTACTGTAAAGTGATTTCCTATTTTTAGAGTTATACTATTCGTATTTCATTAAAAGTCAACATTTATTTGCAAAAGCATCTTTTTTAAAGGAATTCTTTGGCATTAGTCTTAGTGATAATCTTGTAATGATTTTGAAGCCAGTGTTTTGACTCTCAGAAACAGAATATGATATAAAGACATATTAACAGTCACAAGCTTTAATTAATAACTAATAAAATAAAATGCCTTCATATTTATTTTCCAAAATGTAATAATCCAAAAGCAATGATGCCAAGATGTTGAGACATACAAATTGAAGAGGAAGGAACAAACAACTCACAATGGTTTGCTTAAATAYAAGTGCTGACTGTGGTAACTTGGGAACCAACTTCACTTACACAAAGCTTACTTGTATATAAAACACTGAAAGATAATTACAAAAAAAAAATTCTGTAAATTCCTAAAAACTAAAATTCTGAGATTTTGTTTCAGAAAAGTTACTTTTTCGGCAAAACATTTAGCACAGACTACATCATCCTGAAACTATGGCACAGTCAGATAGGCCCTCCAGCCAAAWTTTTTACTTTCATTGCTTTTTAATTGCAAAATGACTATCTCTACAGACTCTAAATTGGGGAGAAAACCTATGTTATTTATRATAAAAAAGGGAARACTGTCACATGCAGACTAGAACCACATAATTATGAATATCTGGCAAACTGATCTCTATCTGTATATTTATAGGATCTAGCTAACATGATTACTTCAAGTTTGGAAACTTGGAGTACAAGGAAAATAATCTGCAAATATTTGTTGCTGACTTACAAAACACTGGGTTATTAATATAGTCTCTATGCTTTGATATCTGTGTCATTTCCTGGGAAATTTTTCACACTTTGGGTACTTTAAGCCTTGGGATGAAACCATTTTAGGAGCGATTAGATAGATACAAAAAGGGTTATGTTTTAGTGCATCCTTGGTTTATCAAAATGAAAACATAAATATTACAAATATTGAAAATGTGAAAATACAATTGTGAGAGCTGCCAACTATTTGGGTACCAATTAGAAATTATCTTCATCTGATTCATCACTCTTGGGTTTGGTAAGCCTTTCCAGTTCCTCTCCATCCTATAAGGAAACAGATAAAATTAGTAATTAATTAAAACAAAATTCAAAAGGTCAAATTTAGATTAGTAAAGAGAAGTCTTACTTAACATGTAAATCAGTATCCTATTTCATTAAATTGTGAATATCATCTGGTCAAGTTAGATAAGTACTTGGAAAGTTAACTTTAGAAGCACAATGAGGAATAAAAGGAACTTACCTCAATATTACAAAGGATATATGTGGCAAACCCAAAGCCAATATCAAACTGAACAGAAAAATACATTTCCTCTAAAATGAGGAACAAGACAAGATGTCCACTCTCACCACTTCTATTTATAGTTCATAAGAACTCTAGTCAAAGCAAACAGTCAAGAGAAGAAAATTAAAGGATACAAATAAGAAAAGAAGACATCAAATTATCTGTTTGCTGATGTCATGATCCTATATCCAGAAGACCCAAAAAACTCCACTAGACTTCTAGAGCTGATAAATGAATTTGGCAAAGTAGCAGGATACAAGATCGATATTCATAATTCAATAGATGGCCTATACTCTAATAGTGATTCTGCTGAGAAATAAATCAGGGAAACTATCCTGTTCACAATAACTTTAAAAAACAAAACAAAACAAGAAACATCAAAACCAAAAAAAACCTTGAGAATTAATCTAATCAAGGGTGTAAGATCTCTACTAAGAAAATTATAGAACACTGAAGAAAAATTGAAGAAGACCTTAGAAGATGGAAAGACCTCCCATGTTCTTGGATAGGCAGAACATTGTCAAATGGCTATCCTACCAAAATCAATATAAGATTCAATGCAATTCCCATCAAAATATCAATGACATTCTTCACAGAACTAGAAAAGCAGTCTTAAAATTTATCTGGAAGAATAATAAAAGACCCAGAATATCCAAAGCCACCCTGAGCAAGAAGAATGGTGCTGGAGACATCATAATATTTAATCTCAAATTATACTACAGAGCTATAGTAATAAAAGCAGCAYGGTACCAGCATCAAAATAGACATGAAGACTGATGGAATAGAAGACAGAGAGACAAACCCACACAGATACACAGTCATCTGATACTTGACAAAGGAATCAAAAACATGTGTCAGAGAAAAGATAGCCTTTTTAACAACTAGTACTAAGAAAACTGAATAGAAATATGAAACTAGATCCCTATTTCTTGCCCTGCCCCCCAATCAAATCAAAGTGGATCAAAGACTTAGGAATTAGACCAGAAATTTTGCAACTGCTACACGAAAACAAAATTAACGCTCCATCATATTGATGCAGGCACTGACTTCCTTAACAAGACCACTAAAGCTCAAGAAATAAAACCAACAAGCAATAAGTGTTCAGTATAGCAAAGAAAAAGATTAAGAGCATGAATAGGGACCCCATAGAATCAGTGGGGGGGGGAGTGGGGGGGAAATCGGGTATCATAAAGATAAAAGGAAGTTCAGTGGAGTAGGAGATAGGGGGGGACAGGAAAGGGGAGAAAATGCAAAAATGAATTTAACGAAATCACACTATGTGCATATATAAATATACCACAGTGAATTCCACCTTTATGTATATGTCAAAAGCACCAATCAAAAATAAACAAATGTGCAAAACAAGATCAGTAGAGTAGACAAATAACAGGAAAAGGGAGGAGGGAAGGGAAGCAGGAAGACAGGGATCTAAATGGAATAAATCAAATTCCATGCTTGAATGATTTTGTCAAAATGAATCCAACTACTAAGTATAACTATAATGTTGTAATAAAAAATTAAACTTAAAAAAAGTAAAATGTACTCCAAAGTTAACAACATGAGTAAAGTAAGGAGCACCACCTGCTGGTCTTGAGGTGAAACAATTAAAGGATGGAGGAAAAAATATAAACTAGTCTTACTACCTAAATTGATGTCATTTTACTTAAAAGTTGGGGCAAACATCATTATCAGTCCATTGTGGGGGGAAAAGAGGAATTCTGAATGTATACTGGAGGGACTGGGGCATGTGGGATGTAAACTTCTAAATTTTTCATCTTCAGATTTGTTTTATTACCACCTGAGAGGCATGACACTTACAGAAGGTCTGCCATGGATGCTAGTAAGTAACAGATTTCCCAAAGGGTGAACATGTAAATGTGTTCACTGTGTGAAACAGTTCATATTTTGTATAATCATGAAAATTGTAAAGCTAAAGCTATATAGAAGAGTTCATTGCATTTTCTGTCTAACCATATATTTAACTCCTTAACAGAATCTCCAAGATTATGAATTTACTTATAACATGACTGAAATATCCTTCCACATGATTATAAGCAACTGACATATATTCAGAATAACTACATACGTGTTTTTCTAGAATTTTTTTCCTCCTACTTGTGAAGATCTTTTTGAAAACTACCTTCCTTAGTGAATTAAAAGAAACTGTCTTTCTGGCACATTGTGGTTTATAAATAACTATAAGAAAAATTAAAGTGCTAGGTTTTCCATGTAAGAAGAGTGATGAAAGTAAAAGATAAACTTCTTTTTATGAATGAGGCTTATTTTTCCACCTATTGTGCAGTGGAAAGAGCAAGAGACTAGGAGACAGACCTCATGGGTTTAATATTAACTCTTTCACTTATTACCTGTAAAACACTTAGCCAGTTTCTTCAATCATAAAGGTAGGGAAACTGGACAAGACCTGGGAAGCATCTTCCAGATCAGTGATACTATCAACACATAAAGTCCTTGAGAGATGATTTAAACTTTTTCTTGATCCCTGATAGCATTTATCATGAGTCCTTGCAAACATCAATGCACATCTGTTGACTGCTTTCCAACAGTCACAGAGATCTAATACTTTTCTTATTTTTCCTTGAATAAACATGTTTTCAATTTGGGGAAGAACAAGCAAAAAGCAGTATCCTCACAAACTTACCCCACTGGAACGCTCCCAAAGATTGCCACTTAGATCTCTGACCCTCTCTTGCCTAGGTGGATATTCCAGGCTTTGAGACTTGCTGGCATTATAAATAAAAATGGAGAGAAGGACTGATGGGGCTTCCAAGAAAAACTCCAGGGAGGGCCTGAAGTCAAAGACCAGGACAGATACTGCTGTGATGATGACAGTGGTGATCTGAGCCATCAAGACATGGAACATGTTATCCAGGAACTTGAGAATGAAAGCTACTGAAAGGCCCTGGAATGCAGTTACAAAAATAAGGGCTACTGAAAATACATTGTGTCCATAAAAAAATCCACAGTTCTTAATCTGATCACGGTTACTGCTCTGAAGGCCCAGTGTCAGTCCATTAAAAAGAATGCCAAAGAAATAGAGTTTGCTGTTCTGTATGAAGATGTTTTCAGTGAGCTGGTTCCCTTCCTTCAATATTTTTTCATTATAAATATTGGCCATTGAAGAAATAAAACACTGTACTATAATAAGGATATGGCCCAAGCCAAGGCGGATGTGACTGAAAACTCTAGCTGTGGTGTTCCATTTAGTTTCAGGAAAAGTCCACTCCTTTGCCGTACAATTGTCTTTTCTGGAACATTCACTTCTGAAATGAAGGCATGAATTGGATGGGGTGAAGAAGGCATCATGATGAAATCCATGTCCTGCCAGGTTATGCTGTGAAGTTTTAGTGCCAGCAGTTAGGGCCACAATAGACAAGAAGAGAATCAGGAGGGAAGCCCACTGTGTCCAGTTTAGATGCCGCCTGTTCCAAAGATGAAAAACAAGATTTTACTACTGTCTTTCCCACCTGTATCCATTGTTTCTACTGAAAACCCAGAAACTCAAGTGCTTGTTGAATAAACTATACCCAATTTTGCTAGCATTCCCCACACTTCAAGTTCAAAGAAAACCTGCTGGTGGTATCTCTGTGTCTCAAATTTGACATTTTAATTTGCTTTCATAATAACTTCCCTTAAGGCCATTCAATCATTTCTTCTTCTTGTAGGTTTCCTTTTAGGCAGCAAGTTTAACAAAGCACCATCTCTACATCCAGAGCTATCTTGGTACAGAAACCTCTGTGCTACAAGATTGGTTACAGCAGTGATTCTCAAATTGGTTTCTAAAGACCAGAAAAAATGCAGAGTAGCTTCAGAAATCTTCTATATAGATGAATCCCACCCACCAGCCCCCTGAAAGGAGATCTATTTTTCAGAAGTGTTCATGACCCAAAAAATATTTAAGGAAGTTAGCTCCTGAATGAAGGTCCTAATCAGAAAAGCATTATATTGTTAACTACTGGCTGATAAGGCAAGGAAAAAAAGATTTTTGGGGTAGTATTTCAGTTTAAAAATCTAACAATGCTTTATTTATTTATTTTACCTTACAACAGACTTGTGAGCTACAGGAGATATGAATTATTATTTCATTTTGCTTAATCATTCAGTTCAACAGACATTTAATAAGCAGCTACTACATGCCAGGCAAACTGGGGAGATAAAGACTGGATCTTTCTCCTTAATGAATTTATGCTTTAATAAGGAGAGTTATAAACCAAATAATGGCAGTAGAATGTGTGACAAATGATACATGGAACCACTGAAGTACACTGAGGAAGGAGCACTTGAATCTGTAAACAAAGTCAGGTATGGCTTCAATGAGGAAATGACACTTGAGATGAAAAAATATCTAAATGGACATTGGTCATCTCCAGACAGAGTGATGTATCTATACAAAGGCAACAATCATTTACAATGTTAACGAAGAACAAAGGAATATCTCAGGTTGTGGTACTCTGGAGAGAACAAAATCTTGATGCTAGAAGATCAGTTAGGTTAAAGAAATGAAAAGCCAAGAAAAGAATATGACATAAGTAAAGGCAGAAGATTAAAGTTATATATGAGAACCAGAAGTCCTAAGAATTTTATTGGAGTACTTATTGAGCACCTACTTTTGAGGGTCAGGCTCTGAGGGAGGAAAGATATCTTGAAAGGTTAACTGATTTCCCTAAGGTCTATATTATGAAGGAGTAAAAAAGGGATTTGAGTCATAGTTTTGTATGTTCTAGATCATCACAACTTTTTAAGAATAATTCTGAGGGATGGGGATGTAGCTCGGTGGTAGTGTGCTTACATATCATGCTCAAGGCCCTGAGTTCAATCCCCATACTGCTAAAAAAAMTAAAACCAAAACAAAATGACAACAAAAAAACTTCAGAAATAATTCTGAGCTCCCATGATATATATATGAAGGGTAAACACATAGGTCTGATTCCACTAATACTTCTATATAGCTTCACGCTCTGACACTGTGAAATCCATACCAGTCTAGACAGCAACACACCTGTCTGCACACTTTCATGTCTTCTCATTTACATAATTTTCTAATTAACTAGAGCTAGAGTTCAGTGATGGGGTTAGCTATAGCTCTATGTCATGAGGTCAAAAATTGTGAACTAGTTTCCTAAATTTCTGAAGGTGCAGCTGGTACATACTAAGTAGTGGAAAGCAAACAGAAATGGTAAGAGAAAATTACAGAGATGAAAAATGGATGTCTGATTTATTAAAATAATTGCATAAACAAATATTATACATAAGAATTGAGGCAAAAACAGTATCTTTAGAAATTTTGAATTCTTGGAGATATAGACTCTCCTTTAATATTGACATTGCAAATAAAGAATCTAAGGAAACGAACTATTAAACTAAATAATACCTACTCTAAACAATTACTCACCTGAGGTAATATTCCAGAAGGTAAAAATTATTAAGAAATTGTATGCTTTCCAAAAAAATATAAAGCTTCATAAATTATCCTGCAAAATTAGCTAAGGACTTGTGTATTTATAAATGATGACCAATTCTGCATGGAAAAGTTTATTCTTCAGTTTAATGTAATAAAATAGTTCACTTATCTAATTCTTTCTCTGTTCAAGTAAAACAGAGTCAATTACTACTAGGAGCTGACTGCTAAGTGAACCGAGTGGCTAAAAGACCACTTTTCCTGATGGTCTCTGCTCCCAAATCTCTGTTCTCAAATGTGTTTTTACCTGGTGGCCTCCTTATTGTCATAACATATTTTAACAACTACATAAATGATAAACTATGAAAAGGGATACTGTTTTATTTAAAACTGAGTTGAAACTTTTAGAAATACTAGGTAAAGGGAAATAATTCAGAAGATAAAAAGCTGGTTGTAAATTATATATAGGTAAGCTAATTGTAAAGGTTAGGGAAAAATAATAAAAATCTTGATGAGTTATCTTCCTTAGAAGTATTTTCAAATACTTGATGTGCTTTAAGGTAACTAAAACCAGAAGTCATGGATCATAAGTGACTATAGCTTCATACAAGAAAGAAACCAAAGAACTCCAATTAGCAAASTCTACCACGCGGCCTGCGCAGTGGTTTCATTAATGAGGTTCTAGGCATAAAGTTAGTTAGACGAGATCGAAATAAAAACACAAGACTCAATTACCTTWATTCTATTGCTAGGTCCGAGACGGCTCCCCTCTCTGGTTCGCTCCTCTAGCCGCTCAGCAGGGCAGCAAGGATTACTCAGGGCTAGCAGGAGAGAGAGAGCGAGCACGCCGGGGAGTAGCCTTTTATTAGGGAACMAGAGATTCAGGGGAGAATTCCACCCAATGAAGGTTGAGGGGGGGCTGCACTCCAAGGTCAGGGTCAGCGATTGGGTCCCCGGGGTCAGTGGTCAGGCACACCCCCACACGGATGGGCTCTCTCATCAGGAGAGGGCCGGGAAAAACTTCGACTTGTGCCAAAGTGCCTCAGACCCTCAACGGGAGGCACCCGATCACGTATGAGAATGGCTCCCCACAGCAAACCCTACATATACTCAAGAGAAAAACCCTAGCTCAACAACAGAAAGATGTTCATCAAAAGGATGAACAGATAAACAAAAGTTAAAATAAATTTAGATTTACACACATACACTATCCCCATTTGCAGTTTTGTTTCTCATGCAAACCCAAAACTAATAAATGAAAAACTCCAGACAAAACCATTTATAAGTTTCAAATTCTCTGATGTTGTAGGCAGGATAAAATGTCATTATAGCAAGTCTGTCCCACCTTAATATGAATCATTCCCTTTTCCTGTGTATCTGTGTTGTATATGCTACCTACCCATCAGTCAGTTATCATATTGACACTTGAGGTATCACAGTGCTTGTGCTCAAGTAATGCTCATTTTACTTAGTAATAGCTTTAAGGAACAAGAGTAATGATGCCAACAATTCAGAAATGCCAAAGAAATGCTTTAAAGCACTTCCTTTAGGTGAAAAGGTTAAAGTTCTCAACGGGGGGAGGGGGAGGAAAACAAAATACATGTTTTGCTGCCAAACTTCAAACTGCAAAAATTGTACTCACAGTATATGGCAAATATTTAGTTAAGATGGAAAGGGCATTACATTTGTATATGTATATAGAGAAAAAAAATACTGTAACAGGGTTCAGCACTATCTAGTTTCAGGCATCCACTGGGAGTATTAGAATGTCTATCTCCCATAGATGGCGGGGGGGATTACTGTTTTTGCAGTTAGCCCTTTGTATGCATAAGTGCTGCATCAATAGATTCAACTAACTGCAAATCAAAAATATTTAAAAAAATTTTATCTGATTATGTACAAACTTTATGATTTCCTAAACAATACAGTATGATAACAATTTACAAAACATTTACATTGTATTAAGTATTTTAAGTAATCTAGAAATGACAGAGTATATGGTAGGTTACATGCAAATACTAAGAGACCTGAGCATCCATAAATTTGGTATCTGCAGGGGTCCTGGAACCAATCTTCTATGGATATCTATGGATGACTATATATTGAGATTCTCCATTATGAGTTTACCTAGTAACTGAACAATCACATTCAAATTGTGTCAGATAAAAATAATTCTACCATCTTTCTACCATATTGGGAAATATGGTAGAATAGTAAATATGGTAGATAGTAAATCAAGGCAGAGCATCAAAACAATTTAGTAGGTTATGAAACAATTTATTTTCTCAAGGCACTGTACAAAATACATTTCCTAGTAGCAAAGAGACCAACTGGAGTAGATTTAAGAGAAATCATAAAGCTTTGTAAAGTAAATAAATAATTTTGAAGAAAATGCTTACAATCCTGAGTGGGATATTTCTTAATTCTTCTGCTGGTTGGGACAGGGTGTGTATCAAAATGTGTTTGTTAATGATCTTTTCCCATAGCTTTGCTTGGTAAAATCAGAGAACCTTATACATATAAGTAGGTAAAAATAACTGCTAATCATGGTTATTTTGCTGTAAAATATAAATTTCCAGGTTGATGCTGTTATTTTCCAGAGGCAAAGATTAAACAACTCTGCTAAGGTGCAAGAGCAAACCAATGAGGCAGACTTGAAGGCAGAATGTCTGCCACCAGTTTCCACTTTGAATTAGTGGCTACATTTCAAAGAACAAATCTATATTCACATAGAGTTTCTTTAGAAAAGCCAATAGGACATTTAAATGGTATTTTTCCCCCACTTTCAAATTCCTCCAACTAATTCTTGCATTAATCACCACCTAATTTTTTCTACTTTTGCAGCCTTATTATACCTGTATAGAGAAGTTGTTTGATGGCTCTGTTAGAGTCAAGTATAAAACAACTAAATATTCTAAATGAAAAATGAGTTATGGCAAACAAACCAAGAACATGTGATAGAACCCTTAAGTTGCTAACTCCAAAGCCAAAATTTCATGGCAAAGGGCAAAGGAACGATTATATGACCCACAAAGAGTGGAAAAACAAACAACATATACCACCAATGACAAAATGATTAAAAGAGAACACAGTTAAGGTGAAGAGAGGAAAATTATTCAGCTTCTAAAAAGATGGAAATCCTGTTGCATGCTACAACACAGAAGAACTTTGAGAACATAAATAAGTGCAAGAAGCCAGTCACAAAAAGAGAATGTATGATTCCATTGACATGAGGTTTCTAAAGTGGTCAAATTCACAGAAACAAAAAGTAGAATGAATGGGGGAGGAAGAAAAAGAGAGTTGTTTAATGTGTTCAGAGTTTCAAAACTGTAAGTTGGAAAGCATGATTGGTTGCACAATAAAATGAATATGCCTAATATACAGAATCATATAATAAAAAAATGGTTAAGATGGCAAATATGCTGTGTTTTTAACAATTAGAAAAGTTAAAAATGTAATAAAAGCTAATACTAAATAAAAGAATACTTAAAAGTCATGCTCATAAAGACACTATTAATTAGCACACTATTGTGGCTTTATTATTTAGAGATGCATCAGTGCTAATTTTTGAATTAGTACAATTAAGACCCACTCAAGTTGCTAATTTAGCTTTCCTGGAAGAAATAAAACTGGAGTGGTTTTATTATTCTTTACTCTAAACACTTCCAAGGGCTCAAAACAGAGAGATATTTATTAACATGTCTAAGAACCAATATTATTGTTCTGAAAATAAGAGTTTAGTAAAGCGCATGAAAAATATTTTTAGCTTTAGTTCATAAATGTGATTATTAAAATTTGCAAAATATAATTATTATTATAATTAATGTTAAAACAATTAAAATTTACAGTACAAGTAGATTTGAATTTGCTTATATGAAGAATTAACTTTCTTAATACAAACAGTTAAATGCTTAAAAATTTAACTAGATTTACTAGAGGGTAAAGTTAGAACAACTAACGAATGAATTTCAAATCATGTATGATTTGGCAAATGAAGTTTTAATGTAATCTCAATAAAAAACTTGTATATTATCTAATAATTTAAGTTTTATACTATGTGTCCTAATGAACTGTCATTTCACTGGAAAAAATTTGAGGCCTCTACTCCCTTATTAAACTGTGAACATTTTATTAAATGTTGGAACCAGTTTTTTTTTTTTTTTTTTTGGTTCATGGAAGTGCATTTCCATTTTATCACAGGAACTAAATACAAAAATATTATCACTTACACAAATTCTCCTAGAATGCAATTTTTTACAAAGTGAATTTCATGTTGATTTCAAAGGCTTCAAAACATTTTTTGGAATCGCATTCTTTTAACTTGCTAGTTATAGAATTATTTTTGCAATTCACAACTAAAGTGAAGAACATGATGCACAAAGCAAATTTCAATGTATTCTAACATTTAAACTATACTAAGTGTACTGTTAATTTTTAAAAATATCTCACATTAACTATCAAGTTGAATGTTTCCTCAGAGTAAATGTTTCTAGAAACTCACATAATTTATATAATAAATGTATCATGGATTCAACAAACATTTAGGTAGCCTCTATATAAGCTATCCATCCTTTAGTACACATAAATTATTAAGGAACACCTATCACATAACATAAATAAGAAATTAAGAAGATAAAAAGAATGTAAAATTTAAAAACCGTCATGACAAATATAACAAAAAGTTAATTTTATTCTTTTATCGTCATTATTAACAAATTCATTTGAGATTAAGTACCTACTATCTTTGTATCAGCCTATTTCAGACTACGATATTTTCCTTTTTGCTTTGTAGCAGAGCCTATTTACTGAAAAATGTTTATACTACTCAGTGGTCCTCCTGGATATTGTAAAGATGGGTGAAAACATTTTTAAGTCTAAAAGCCCATCATTCTTATTCATTTTGACTAGATTCTTCAAACAAATTGTCTTCCAGTTAGGGATCAAATCATGAACTTATCTCAAAGGGTTAAAAAAAGAATTTGCCACTCTATCATCTCCAAAGAACTAATGTATTAAATATCTTAGGAACCTCTTGATTCCCTATTAAGTTTCCAATCGACTGTATTTAAAAAGCTTATGAATTCTTTCTTGAAAATCTGGCACTAAAAATTAAAGTACTAATTATAGCCCAATTAATTATCTTATTTTTGAGATGCTCAAGACATTTTACATATATCTGATCACAGAAGTTTTAGACTGGAGTTGCTTTCAACATGGGTTAAACAATGTGCCCAATACACAAAGYCAATTAGGAACAAAATCCTGGTCTTGGGATTCGAGGGCTCAGTGCCCCGGGTATATCATCTGAAACCAGGCTGTGCCATTTTAAAGTATGATATATGCTTTCACAGCAAGCTACTTACTTCAGCACTATCCTGAATAGAAGAGCTGTTGTTATAATGCTAAAATTTGAGAAGATAACAGCCATGGCCTAGAAAGAAAGAGAAGATAGGATTACAAACAGAGTACTGACCTAAGAAATCTCCCATTTTGGTAATTCACCTGACAAAAAAAGCTTTTTAGTAAAAAACCAGAGGGGTTATTAGGGCAGCTATTTCACTAGAGGATTAAATTCCATTTTTATTGCTTGTTAAATTTATGGAGATATGATCAAATTATTGTTCAGGCTTTGAAACTGTGTGTTTGAGTTCAGGCAATGCCTGTGTAAATAATCTTTATGTGTAGATCTGGAAATACTTATGACTTGTAAAGGTTTAGGTCTAGAAATTAACAGCTACCATGCCTATGAAATATACTTTCCATTGCTTTCAATACACTTTATAGATTTTTAATACTGCTCCTATAGGTGAGTAGAAAGGAAGTACCATTAGGCCCATTTATATGGTAATAAAATTTAGATAGATTTTTAAGCATCTTTACTGTTCTAGAAATTGAATCAGTTTTCCAGCTTGAACTGACATGACTCAAAATCAAACTCCGCCCTTTGGATTGATCCAAGTTATTCTAAACACTTAGAAATATGTTAGCCAGATTTTATAGTGGTCTGTTTTTGAGAATTCTGTCACACTTCATAGGAACAGTATTAATCTGAATGTGTATATAGGTTGCTCAGAAAGCATGAAAATCTATCACTGCTCTATACAACTGGACCTGACAATATCAATAATTTTTAAAATAAATCCTATGATTTGGTTCACCCTGCTTTCTTCCTTGCTATCAATTTAAGTTGATTAAACTCCACAGAGAGCCAGGTGTAGTGGCACATCCTTGTAATCCCAGTGAATCTAAAGGCAAAGGCAGGTGGTTTGCAAGTTCAAGGCCAGCATGGGCAACGTGGCAAAACCTTGTCTCAAAAAAAGGGTTTGAGAAGTAGTTCAGTGGTAGAGCACTCCTGATTCCAATCCCTAGTACCAACAGTATAATAAAAACTAAAAATAAACTCCAAAGAGTACAAGCAGTCTTATGTAACCACTAATGATAGCAAACAAGGCTAATAAGCAGCTACATTAAAACTGAAAAAGAATAATTCAAAAAAACTAACAATAATTCAAAGAATGTACCATTGTTACTTTTCTACTGAATTTTTAAAAATTTTCATTGATGTGCAATAATTGTAAATATTTATGGGGTACATAAAGGGTGATAATTTGATACATACATAATGTAATGTAATACGTGTAATATAATGTAATGATCAAATCAAGGTGATTAGCATTTCTACCTTCTTAACCATTTTTTTCTTTTATTGGAAAACTTTGAATTGGGTTTTTCCAGAGTATGTCTCTGTAAGACAAATTCTTGTGAACCCCCAGTTAAGAGAAAACTAAGATGAGGAAAATGTTTGGTAAGAGTAAAGAAGTGGTGGTCCTGGATAAATATACCAAGGGCAATGCAAACACACCTAACTAAGCAGCCTGGTTGGTCTGAGGAATTCTAAACACTGTTACCATATAGTACTATAGAATAAATCAAACATAAGAGCTATTTGCCCCTAAATTTCCATGTATCTCCCTTTAATTCTTTCAATAGGCTCAAATAGAAATACAAGAGTATGCCATGTGGTTTGTTTTATAATATCTGTGTTTGTACATTATTGGGAAGGAAAAGCAAAACAATAAATACAGAGGAAAAAGAAGAAATATGCAGCAGGCATGGTGGAGCACACCAGTGATCCCAGTGGCTTGAGAGGCTGAGACAGGGGAGGATCCCAAGTTCAAAGTCAGCCTCAACAACTTACTGAGAATCTAAACAAGTTAGGATGACCCTGTCTCAAAATAAAAAATAAAAAGGGCTAGGGATATCATGGAATATCACTCAGTGGTTAAGTTTTTTGGTATCCAAAAAAAAAAAAAAAAAAAAAAAAAAAAGAGAGAGAGAGAGAGAGAAGGAAAGGGGAAGGAAAGGAGTATAAATTTAGAGTTTCTCTGTTGGATACAAAAAAATACAACAAATATTTATTTACTGAATGTGAATAATTATATTGTTAGGCATAGGAATTCTCAAATCTAAAAAAAAGAAGTGGAAACAAGAATTTATAAGACGTTTTAGATGGACTGAGCACTAACTACCAACATGGGTGAAGGAGCTAAAAGTAACCTCAAGTGATCAACTAGTCCAGATTCCTGCTTTTGACCTAGATTAGTTTATTTCTACTTAATAAATAGAGTAACCGAAACTTAGAGCAGTTAGGGCCTAACTTGTTACATAGCTCTTAAGTTGTGAAAAAAATGTTAAAATCTCCTGTTTCCTACTATAGTGCTATTGCGCCTTTTCTTTTCATCCTGTTCTAAAATTTACCTGGTTACATGTAACAGGTTTCACAGAGATCAGTGCCARTAAAAATCCTACTTACAACCAAAATGCCCACTTTAACCTTTTAAAGAAACTTAAAACACATTTTGGCAATAAAGGCAATAGAGATACTCATTTTATAAGATGTTAATAGGAATACATATTTGAGTATCAAACTGAGTAAAGGGTAAAAGCAGAAGACCAAACTTCAATGTTGATTACTGATGGCTTTCCAAAGTGACACAAAGGCTTTTTCAGTTGGGAGGATACAATCCTTACTCTCAAAGAATTTGCTGGTTAAACGATAAAATTAATAAAAAAGAAAATCTACACAAATAGAAAGCATTTAAACTACATTAGAACAGGTGTAAGAGAGATATTTTCTGAGTTAATAATGGAAGTCTGCTTGGATGTTGAGATTGAGATTAGAGGTTGATTACAGTATGGCTCAGAATATAGGCAAACTGACTAAGGTTACACAAAGAGGCATGGCTTCAGATCTCTTGGAACAAGGAGCAACTCCACCATAGCAGTCAGTACACTTTAATATAGTAATCTCTAACAGTGATAGAACCTGGCAAGCAGATCCATAATTTCACTTTCTAATGAATCTGGGAAAATTTCAGCAAGGTCAGTCAGAGCCACAAGAAACTTAAGACAGTCGAGGAAAATGATGGAAAAAAAAAGGAAGATACTTTCTGGGACTCATTTCTCTGTTATCGTTTCAATGGCACTCTGTCATATTTACTTACAGGCTGAAGATAGGATAGGACATAGAAGACAATCAAGTTGTCCAGGAAATAGAGAAAGGCAGGAATGGACCACTTCATGAAATTAGAGAATTCCTTCCAGGAAGCACATCTCAAATTTCTACTTCGATGAGGTTCTACAGAAAAAAAACAGAGCAATAAAAAAATAATCTTGATGAGAAAGCCTATATTTTTAGAGAAAGTACATTATATCTGATCACTGATAGAATTCATCAAAAGGGGTTTTATAAGCTTGCTTCGTAAGTGGTCATTAGCCTATAAAAAAAAAGATAATATGGAACTTTACTAGTCTCTCTCTAACCCACCTTTGTGTCCTATCACTGACAATCAGCAACATCCTTATTAGGATAATACTGATTATCCTAATTCCTGTTAACTTAAAGCAGAAGTATTGTTTAAGTTGACTCAAGATACACATGTGGTTTCTCTTATATCTCTGCGAGCATAAGAGTAAGAGAAAAATCAATGTTAGAATAAGTGTGTTGGGGAAACAAGTTTCATGTTGGGATTCCTTCCTACCCTGCAGAAGACCAGGAAACGGAATTAATATGTAGAAATTTATACATATGGAACTAAAAGCAATTAAAATTAACTTTTACTAATTCTAGTGTGAGTTTTTATCCAGTTCCAGACTGCCAAACACTGCAACAGAGAGAATGTAAAATGAAAAGAGAAGCAAACAGTTTAAACTCTGCAAGTAATGCTTGCATTTCACGAAATTAAAACTAACTAGTATTCCACTAACTAGAAACTCTACACAGATTGAAACCCTTGAATGTTTAAAGTCATGTTCCCAGGCAATCACTTTAATGCTTTACATTTTATGTTTACCTCGTCTGAGAAGGCAGATCAAAGAAGCAGAGGGTTAAGGGTTCATAACTGGGGAAATGAGGTGAAGAATTGCGACAAAAACCTGTACATTCCATAAAGGGTAATACTTTTACATTTGAGGAAAGGATTACTATTCCTATTTAATAGTTCTACCTCAAAACATAGTACCTCTTTGACTCCAGAGTTACTATGGTGACTTCCCTGTACAAAATGGGAACTGTTTTGCAATACGATGCATAGCACCTCACATTAGCAGTGATTTAGAAAATCCTGAATTTAGATAAAAAACCAACGGGCTTGTGAAACCATAACAAGAACAAGTATGAGGGAAAGCAGTGGACAGGATGTGTGGGTTCGTGTACTAGCTTTGTCCTTTCTAGCATAGCTCTACAGAATACTTTGAGCATACTTCTCTACCTATAATAAAACACAATTATGTTAGTGTCTTAGCTTCCTCAGATATAATGATATAAACTGTCATTTCCAGTTCTAATGTTTTTTGATTCTGCAATTACATAGTACCATTTCAAGACTCACCTTTCTTTATAACACAGAAGGACACAAGCACACAGAAAACTAGCTTCACCAGTTCTGAGCATACATTCACAGTAGTTGGTAGATAATCATACTTGTTCTCTGAAATATAACAGAAATGTTTTCTTAACTATACTTTTTATTCTATATGTTTGTATGCAGTTAATAATTATAATTGTTTTTAAACTTAAAAGCTGGCTTTGCACTGACTGCAATAAATTTCTTACCATTTGCTTTGCTTTTAAGAAATTTTGAAACAGTTCATCCAGTGTATTAGCTATCTCTCTTTTATTTAGCTTTAAGTTATAAAGCATGCCTAATGCTTTCATCCATGTTACTAATAAATATGTTGAAGAGACTAGGGCCAATAGCAAAGAAAGCTCTGTGGCAAGGCATTGCAGACTGCCTTCTAAATTGACCATTTAATTGACACTTAGGAGTCAGACTAATCAAGCTGTTATGATTTTACTTGCTGTATTATTACTCAGTTTATGGTTCTTCTTATGTGACCTTTCTACCTTATTAAAATCAAGGTATACTTTATCAATGGCATTTCCTTAACTCAGAATTTTCCAATGTGTTTCATATCATAGTACACACAGAAAACATTTTTAGCTTTTTTTAATCCACTGTCTCTATTTTCACAATGTGTTTCTATGTATGTCTCCCCAAATAAAGTGAGTTCTTAAGGATAAGGTCAATAGCTTATGAACTTTGAATTCATATCACTAAGACTTAGCCTAGGACCTGACAGAAGTTAACTGACATTGAGACACACAACTCCCCAAGTAGATCATTTAGAGTGATGATATCATGGTTTTGAGTGTTATCAATAAGTAGTGAGAAGTACTCATAACAATTTTATGGAATTGACGTATTTGCTTAAATTCCTACATTTTAAAAAATAATAATTTATTGGGCACATACTTATCAAACCTTATAAACTATATTAACCCATTGATATAATAACCTCAGAACAGCAAGTGACCAAATATATTCTCCCATCTACTTCAAATAGGCTGAAATTATACATTTTGTTATATGCCCAGAAACACCTGCTGATTGAAGCAGTAATCAGATGTTGTAAGATGTTCTGTACAAAGGGTTTGATTTGGTGCTTGCCTGAACCAGACTGCACTATCAAAATTTTTTCTTGCTGAGGAATGAAAGGTTAAAGAATAATATTTAAATACGCTTTTTCATTCATATGAAGGAAAGCACTTCATAAGGTTTTATTATCTCCATTTTATACACAAGGAAACCAAAGACAGGAGAGAATGTGTGATTAAGTATTCTATATAGTTCTCCTCTTGCCCCTGTAAGAGTTATTTCTATTCTTCACACTTGAATAAATTCTACTCCTTCAACTCTCTCTCTCTCTCTCTCTCTCTCTCTCTCTCTCTSKSRCACACACACACATACAAAAGGATTCTATATGGACTTGTAAGTCTTAACTTACCTTCATTGGCAGAGTATTTTACCAGTAAGATGCGACTTGAGCTTAAAGCAATGAATAAGGCACCTAGCAGGAATGTATACATTGTTGAGAAGGGCCATAACCCAGGCCGCCTACAGCACTTTCTTTCCATTGTACTGATTTTAAATTGCCTTAAAGAGAACAACACTTTCATGAGTAACCCTGTTGTCAGACCTAGAGATTAAACATAATGCAAATATCACTGACTATGCAGACTAGGAAATTTTCAGTAATCTGGCTATGGCTATATCAGAATCAAAAAACTTGAATACAGGAGAAAAATGGGGAAAGGAAATGAAAAATCAAAATCAAAATCTGTTAAGAGGGGGTACTCAAACGGCAGGGCCGGATTAGAAATGCTGACCAATCGTAGCCAGTGAGAATCTGACATTTTGGTACTGCAGAAAAGTAGTCCAACTCATCAGCAACTTTTCCCTGAAACCAGAAACAGGATTTTGGAATTACATTTTGAGTAGCAGCTCTTCCCTCAGATGAAGAAAAGGGGTTTTCTGGGAGAGATTTCGTTGTCATAATGACCAAAATGAAAATGTCTAAAACACAGCTGCTAATTTTTACTCCACTGGTGTGGGAAACAGAAGAGCCAATCTTTGGGTTCAAGAGTCTCAGGCCTCTTTTGACAGCTTGAGGACACGAAATCCCAGGCTGGGTGAGTACCTGCCCAAAGCCTCCCAGCATACCGGTAAGCACCGCACATGGAGCCCGGGACTGGAGAGAAAATGCCAATTCTACAGCGCARCCAGGCACAAGCATGACAGAACCAACGAGACACCTCCAGTTTACAAGGAGGCCAGGTTTCCCTCCACGGAGAGGGAAACCCTTTCATTACACCTGCGCAGTAAGGAGCTCGACTGGCAACACTCCCCCCCCTTCCATGCGCACGCGCAATACTTTGCCTGCGGGGCGCGGTTACCTCAGCCGTCAGAAAAGCTTCTAGTGGAAGAACGCACATCATAGAGCTAAGACAGTGACTGTTTAGCTCCGTAGTAGCAGCAGTAGGTTTTTACGGTCCATAGGAAGGGAAGGTGTAAGAGGGAAACAGAGGCGAAAAAGCCTCTCCCCTCGGCTCCTTATTCCGGAACAAAAAGCAAGATAACGTCTCGACCTGGATAGAGCGTACTCGGCGCCCATTGCGCAAGCGCGCTCAGGGTTAGGCTTCCGGCGGGAGGAGAGAAGAGGCGCGATCCCGCCCCGCTCGGCCTTCCTAGTGTCACGTGACGGGGGAGTCTGGTGTCACGTGAGGCCCAGGTGGCGGCGGAGCTACTGCGAGAGTGAGAGGAGGAAGGGGAAGTCGGAAGGGGTGCGAGTGAGGCAAGGGGGGCGGGGGAAAGACAGCTCCCGGGAGGGCCAGGGCTGCGTGTATCATTTGCCTCTCCCTGTAGCTCTCTAAACGGCCCTACTTTGGTCGCTCGCCGCCAGGTGACAGCTGGGCCCGGCCGGCCGCGTGCTGCCTGGGGCGKGAGGAGCGCGCGCCCTGCCCTCTCGTGCGGCGCTCGTCGCCCCTCCCCCCGTCCGTCCCGTCGCTTCCCGTCCCGTCTTGTCCCGTCCCTTCGGGTGCTGCCGTCTGAGTGCCTATGCGAGTCGGCGGCATTGGRGACATCTTTTGACTTCCCGGCCCCTATCCCGGCTGCCCTCCCCATCCCATCGCGGGGCCGGCCGCTGTTCCGGCCCCAGGATGCAGAATGTGATTAACACGGTGAAGGGAAAGGCACTGGAAGTGGCTGAGTACCTGACCCCGGTCCTCAAGGTAAGCCGGGCGGGCTTGCCGGGGGCTGTCAGGCTCACGCTCAGCTCTGCAAGGACCGGGCGCCAGAGGAGACCCCTGTTATCTGACGGGGAACAGTGTAGGAAGGTGTAAGGGTGGGACGCACAGAAGGGGGAGCCCCCATCCCTGGTCTCCCCTTATGGTTCGGTAGGGCTTTCTGGCTCTTCACTGATAAAACTTGGAGCGACGCTCTGTGTGTGTGCTCGGGTCTCCACCCTTCACAACTCTGCGTCTGGTTTGTAGGGTTGGAAGGTGGTCGCCAGCTAGGACGATTTAACAATGTTAAATCCTAACATCGGAAGTTTAAAACATTTAACCAAGGATTTTGCTTATTTTGGTAGAACGAAATAAGTCTTGGTAGCAAAATGACATATGACACTCCCCCACCCCCAAGTTTCGGAGAAAGACTTTTTATAAGTATGAAATACGTAAATAGTGACTGAGGTTCCTATTCCTTTAGAGTTTAGAGGAACGAAATGAAATTGGTAACATTAACATTGTACTTGAACTAAAGAGCAGAACTATGCTTTCCCAAGTTTTAAAAATATCAGTAACTGGTTTTTAATCTTGGACTTTCAGTGATAATAAAGAGCAGCCTGACTCGCTTGAATATATAATTTTTAGTATATTGGCAAAATACAGCACTTACAAAGTAAAAATTGTAGCACATTAGCTGTTACAGCAGTGACTGAATTGTTTCGTGTTTTCATAGATAAATTTCTAGAACTGCAGTCAAGTTTCTCTTATTYTGGGGCATCTATTTTTGCACTTTTTCTGAAAAGTGCATCGTGATACTAAATGGCAAGTGCTCGCTTAGTTTTCTTTCATTTTGTTCTTAACTTTTGATTCGAATTTTACTAATCTTAGTGTGGGGATAAAATATTCTGATATAATAAGAGAAATGGTTGGCAGTTTTACTTCCTTTCTTTGACATAGAGAAATGTTAGGTCTGTATGTTTTTGTTTTTAACATAATTCACTTGCAAGACTCCTTTTGAAATGAGACCTTGTTGGGCCAAGTAAGAAAAAAGTCAGGTACAGTTAAATGGGATCCTAACTCTTGCTTTCATTTTGTTTGTTTACTGTGAAAGTCATTTTAGTTAATTAAGCTTTTTCAGTCAACTATTTAAAATTCAAAAATAATTTTGACATTGAATCAAATGTTTCTACTTCATCTTATGTTATACCTTTTCAGAATAGCATGTTTACCTAGGTATACAGTATTTTAACAATCCACATTTGTACAAATTTTTAGTTTCAATAAGAGATGAATCAAAGATCTCTTAAATATAAAAGTTATTTAATAGTCTGATTATATTTTATTGAATTTATGACATATATTGTTTTGAAGAATCATTTTACTTGTTTCTCAACTGGAAAGAAGTGTTAACCTGTTAGTATGTAAGGTATATATTTTTACTATAAAGGAAAACAGAATTATGACCCTCTCCTGTCATTCCTTTGCTCTTGGTTTACAGTGAGAATCCTTAAAGTTTCCTGCTAAATGAGGGAAGGAGAAAAAAGGGAAAATTCCTAAGAAAGAAATAATGAATTCTGCAAAACTTAAGAAAAAAATCATGTTTTGTTTAGGGAACATACATACAGTAAAAACTTAAGTCCTGATAATGATTTTCAAGGCTGTACTTAATTGGTAGAAATTGCAATCTCAAGTACTACTCTGTCTCATGAACACTTTTGCTTTAAGCCAACTTGACCTCTTTAGCACTCCATCAAACACAGTCCTGCTTCTAAGCTTTTGCATTTGCTCTTCTCTCAACTTGAAATGCTCTCCCTCCAGATGGCTTGTTCATTGACATAGGTGTTTAAGTTACTTATCTTTATTCTCTTATTTCAATTTTTTTGTTTGTTTTGGTGGTGCTGGATATTGAACCCAGGGTCTTGTGCATGCAAGACAAGCACTCTACCAACTGAGCTGTATTCTCAACCCTTATTTCAGTTTTTCATGGCTGTCTCCCTACCACCTGGCAGATTCCTCTCTGCTTCATTTTTTTAAATAGTATGCTATTCATTATCATTTGACTTTTTTTTTTTCCTCAACTMGAATTAAGATAGTTTTTGAGAGCAAAGATGAGTTTGGTCTGTTTTATTCATACATACATACCATTGCCTGGCACAAAGTAGTTGGTAAATATTTGTTGAATGAGTAATGTTTATAAATGAATCTTTTCATTTTTTGTAGGCTACCACAAAATCTTACTTATAGCTTAAAATTTAGAAAAATTTAATAAATACCATACCTTACTTAGAGGAAAGAATATTGTTTTAATATCTTGGTGGAGATGAGAGTAATGGGAAATATTAAATGATTCCTTCATTTGATTTCTAATATTACTCAGTTTAAATAAGATTTGTTAAGATTCTTAAACATCTTTGAGACATTTTATGGTGCTGTTAAATAAAGATATTTGTTCATTGCACAGAATCATTGTAAAGCTTCATGCTTATTTAAACCTTTGAATGTTTTTTCTTAGAACTGTGATCAAATTGTTTTATTATTATTTTCATTTAAGTTTTCTACATTAGGCTTTTATATATCTTTGTGGTCAAGTACCAGTGACATACACGATATGCACAGTGTATAATATTTTGAATGTACTCTATTGCGTAGAAGAATTCATTGCCCTGAAACATTTTGTAATTGAAATTGAAAGATATTATTATATTATTGTTTTTGCTTTCTTTAGGAATCAAAATTTAAGGAAACGGGTGTAATCACCCCAGAAGAGGTAAGTGTTTGAGATATTTTAAAATCTTTATTTTCTAAAATTGTATTAAACTGGAGTTTTTGCTTTGTGAGAGAACATCTTGAGCTTTTTGATTTCACTACAGTTAGATTTTGGTGATTTATGGGAATTTCTGCTTCCTATAGAAGAGAAGATGTAACTTCCTTCTCAGTTTGCAACTTCTTTTATTTCTCTGTAGTTCCTCTTTATATAGAAATGAAGGTGTTTGAGGGAATGGGAAAGATTCCTATGGTCACATCCTTTATTCATATTTATTATTGTATTGAGCTTTGCAGTGGGCTCGTAGGGTTGCTGTAACAGGCTCTGTCTATACCAAATGTGAATTTTTATAGCTTTCTGTCTGGAAACTTTACTCATTGCTAAAATTTTCTCTTAATATTCAGAATAAATATATTGTTACCTACTGGGCGCTCATTTAGTTTACCTTTTCTACTAAACAAGTAATGTTGAAACTACTTGGAACTGGAACTAACAGCTATGTGATAGGTCAGTTATATTTTATTGAACTTTAAACATAGAATTATGTTTTGAAGAATCATTTCACTTATTGACCAAATCTGTATGACAAGAGTTCTCTTTCATTATGTATTTTATCCCTAGAAAAGTTAAGTATATACTGAGCTAAAAGCCCTTTTTGGTTCCAGCTTTGAATCAGATTTATTTTGTTTTTTAGGTAAAAGGCAAGGGATTTATTTAAGTTTGATCTTGAACTCACTGGAAACACTGTTCATTGGCAATCTGTATTCATTATTTTAAAAGAAATGTTTTGAAATAAGTCATATTACATGATGGGACCACTGTTGCAGCTATGCATTCCAGGTCCTCAGGCCAGAGAATTAACTGATCTATCAGTTTTCATTATGATGGCATCTTCCCAGTCCCAAATCCTTCTGAGATTTAAGAATGGTTTCTTAAACTGATCTTTTATCTAAAACTGCCTTTAATTTTAATGAAGACACATGGTAGAATGAAAAAAAAAAAAAGCCTAGAAGGCCTACTTTCTAGACCCATTTCTCCAATTTCTATTTATTTTGTCACATCGATTAACTATCTAAGTCCAGGCCTCATGTTTCCTCATCTGTAAGAGGAAGAGCTTGAGCTAGACATTCTCTGAAGAATTTATTCTACCTTAGGCTTCATGAGTTTAATACCTTGAATACCCCCCCCAAAAAAAACAAACAAACAAAAAACAAAGAAAAGTTATGATCAAAAGGCTAACATTTTCTTGCCAACCAGAATTATAATGTAGACATGGCTCTTTAAGTATCTGAAATCAAGAGCAGAGATGAGCATTTGTTGTTCTTGCACTCTCAGGCTTTATCTTGACTACATGAAGATGACTAATTATTAGTGGATGTTAGAGATGCAATCTATGGTTGTTGAGTAGAATTAAGCTTAAGATAGGAATTCATCCTAAAATGAGTAGCTCTTATACTTGATACCATGAAAAAAGTTAGTTATTTTTTTYCTTAAAAAATAATCAAGACAAACTACCCAACTTGGGAACTATCCACGTAATGTTGGGTTGGGATAGAGCACAATTACAGGATTTGAGTTAGTTTAAAATGACACTGGAGAAGGAAAATGGGAAGACAGTATTTGCTTTTAGTAAATACT